CGGCGGGCCCGTCATGATGTTTGCTCGAAATCAATGTCTCACAGTGGGTGAAGGTTTTGAAGCAAGCCCAGCTTCGATGGCTTTGGCAGGATGTGCCTCCACCCACATATCTGGAAGTGGGGTGGCGCCATCGGCGCATGGATACCCAGCCCTGCGTAGGTAGACGCCCTAAACCCTAAGCCCTCAGCCCTCGACCTTAACCTACTATGGCCCACGAGCCGCCTGCGCATCGTTCGCAGGTGTTGTGCCCGATGCAGTAGCCTCAGCTCATGCGTTTGGGTCGAGGTCTGGGCGGTAAGGGCTTCTGGCTTAGAGCTAGCTCAGAGAATCTCCATGAGGCCAAAAAGACGCAATGACTGCAGAGCCCCCCCAAACCTACCCTAGTGTAGCCTTTGGTATAGACATAGCGGTCTTGTGCTCAAGGTCTCTTATTTAGGCCCAACTTGGGCTAGGTAGGAAATATCGATTCAACAGCACCTTGTCGTTTCGCAGTAAACTGGCCTGGGGCGTAGGAACTCCCCAGGCCTTGGTTATTTATGTATTTATATGTACTTATATATATATACAATATGTCTACGGTCTAGGGATGGATATATATATATATATAAAAGGTATGTGTAACCTAGATTTTGATATCCCAAGACATACAGGCACGTTGAGGCCCTTGTGCTCGTTCATTTAGGTACCAAGACTCTCTGTGGAACTAAACATTGGCTTCAACTTCGCGGCTGCTTAGGTTGCCACGTCGTCAGGGGATTGTTCCAAATGGATAGATAATATCGAAATTCCATGAAATTCCCAATTTGGGTTTAAGGTGTAGGCTCAGGCCTAGGATGTAAGGCTTAGCGTGTGTCCCCTAAACAGCAAGCGCCCGCACCGTAAATCAGAATCGCTTCGAGAGGTTTAGACTGTCTTAGATTGCTTAGAGGCATGTAAGCGGTTCTAAACTTGCCTTTTGTTGAGATGAATCTATTTGGAGTCCCACTCTCGTTGAATCGCGGCAAAATGAATTTGCCACATCTGTGAACAAAGGACCAGGTTATCCGCAAACAATGTATTTGCAGTTGAGGGCTCTCGTATGCCCGTAGGGTTTACCCCAGACCCAAAGACCTTCATTTGTAAGACCTTATAGTATACTTTCTCGTAAGCCTAAGACTGAAGGTGTATGGGGTCTAAGATCTTTAACCCCCCTAAACCTTGCACATCCTCAGACATGCTGCTTTAGGTGGAAGTTGTTTGATGAGTTTGAGGCCGGGCTACACAAAACGCCGGAAATCCGGAGTATAACAGTCCCTCACTCTCTGAACTCGCTGTAGCGCTACGGGTAACTACTCTAACAACCCTACCTATATCTGGGGTGACCCTAGAAAAGCCATTTAGGGGGATTGAAAATAGGCTCACAAGCCCAGCCAAAGGTAGCTACTAAGTCCCGTTGACTTCCGAATAGGGTACAAGGCCAGCTTGTTGGCCTGTGGGAACATTAGCGAAAATTACCCCATCCTTGGAGTCTACCCGACCCTCGACGTCATTCCCGTTGGCGTTCTGTCCTACATTCTTATAGGGCAGCTCCCGCTATTCATGGAAACTCTCAAATCCTGAACTTTCCAGGTGTTCAGACATCACCTACGAGGGCATAAGCCTGCACCCAGCCGTGCGTGAGAATCCGTGGGTTCGCCGAAGGTAGCATTAGGATTTGGGCTCAAGGTCGCGAGTTTAGGCTAGGGGTTTGGAGTTTAGAGGTTGAGGAGTAGGTTAGGTTTCAGGGTTCAGGGTTCAGGATTTACGGTTTGAGGACTGAAGGTTTATGGTTGGACATTTGAACCCTTATATCGACATTGAACTTAAGCCGCATGCATCTGATTCTGATAAGAAGTGCCCGGAGACAGTACTAGTATATAATCTCGGGAGCATTTTCCATTTTGGAAGGTTTGGGTGTTGTTGTTAGGTGCTGGCGGGCTTATGGTTAAAGGGAGGCAAAACCTTCTGATGGTCTTGGGGTATAGCGTTGAGGGGAAAACTAATGTAAGAATGGGGTTTGGAAATGTATCGCACTAGAGCTTCATGATGTGCGGAGGCAACGGCATGGGTAATTGCCCAGGCTTCTACCGTATGCTAGAACCGGATGGCCCGTAGCCCTAAACTCGTGGCCACGGCAACGATAATGAACTCCGCGTGACAGCGAATAGATTGCAGACGTGAAAATGGCGCAGGGTCTGCTCTAAGACCAGATGCACTCCCCCGAACTGACATGGAAGTCCATATAATCATATAAGCCATAGTTTTAACTCTTTAGAGGGGTTTACATAGAGGATTATATAGTGGACTCTTTATAGGGGCTATCAACGGGGATACTCGGAGTTTAGACAATGGCTCATATAGCGCCCTCTAGATCTTAAAGAGATTGGAATCTTTGTAGGGCCTTTTAGGGTATCGATGTTAGCTTCCGGGAAGGTAGAGGAGAGCTTCGGAGGATCGTTTAGGGCCTGCACATTCAAGCGCATAGAAACTGAAATCTCGTGACCCTAAAACGAAATGCCGTGCACCTCATGCGCCCCTTCTTGGAGGGTCAGGGAGACTTAGTGACTAGGTCAATATTGGGGGTAGTTTGGGTTACTATATGGGCTATAGGGGTTACTGACCTACTTACTAAGTCCCCCTGACCCTCCAAGTATTGTTTGGGCCTTTAGAGTTATCGGGTTGTCTGAGGTTGCAGGGCCTCATTAGTGGAACCTGCTGGGACACATTTCTCCGACTTTCCCCGCAGCATGTACATATTAGTCCTTATGAACCCCTCTTTTCCGGATACTTTAGACCCCCAACAACCTTCAGTGCTAGGACCCTAAAATATGCATCGATTTCTGAACGTCTGAGGTCTGCGGGGCCTATGCCAGCTGCATCTTATACCAAAATGTCCATGATGGGTCGCTCCTAAAGATAGCACCCTGAAACTCAAACACGTCACCCGAGAGGCAGAAGACAAATTCAAGTTTTGTTTATGTTTAAGGTGTCAGAGTTTGGGGTTTAAGGTGCAGTCTTAGGTGCTAGAGCTTAGGGTTTAGGGTTTAGGGCCCAGTGGCCCTGACCACGGTATACCAACAATCTTACTGGGATCCTTAATCGGATTTACAGTATATTCCTTAATCAAGCATTGCTATCCCTATTTGTACAAACCCTACATCCTAGAGTTTAACTACAGTCCTCAATTAAGGGGTATCCCTGAACTCTATGGGCCCTAAACTCAATTACGGGATTCGGGCTCCGAAGGGATTTCCGCTCCGGGTTCAAAAAAGGCTTCGGGCCAACGCCCGAAGCACCTGAAAGACAAACAGTCCTCAACTGACTTAATATTGTTTCCCATTACAGTATCTCATAAGTTTTTACAGATTTATGGCTTTACTTCTCCATATTTCGAGAGTTTTTTACTACTAGTGTATTTATTTCTACTAGGGCAGGTGGGGGAAGGCGTCCTTGCTAGGGTGATGGGATCGTCCGACTTGAGCATGGTGTGCGCCTGCTTAGGATTAAGGCGTGGGGTCAGCCTCAGGTCGCAACGGCGTGCAAGTAACTTATCAGAAGGTCTCAATAGGGTTTAGCGTTTAGGGGTTTAGGGTTTAGGGGTTTAGGGTTTTGGGTTTAGGGTTGGGGTCTCAATGAAACCTGTTTCAAGCTGAAATCAACAGGAGCTGCATGCCGCAGATCCCATCCCCCAACCGTAGGTAAGATGGTGGCCCCAAGCCCCGCCCCCCCCAAAAAAGTCTTCATTCTAGGTCTAGGTAAGCTTCACATTGCTAGGGAGTGGGGGGTTGAGGAAGCTTCCTGTTTTTCTGAGTTCAAGAAGCAGGTTGTAGCTCGAAAATACTGTACCCAGAGCTGGTCTCAGTCCCTCTAAGGTTCATAGGGTTCCGGGTTTGGGGTGATACGGATCATCTTTAGTCTTGGTAGGATTCCTCTACAACTTTATCACTTTAAAAAGCTGTTGGTGTTCTTCTTTCATAAACTTCAAATGTTTTTTTTTTTTTTTTT